GTTCTTGGGAGACAATGCAGCTTACCTTACACCAACCATATGTTGTGGGGGTTTTTTTCCCCTCCTTTCCTTGTAATTCAGTCTCTTGCCTAATTTGAGATGTAACCTGTTTTCTTGTTCTGCTAGCTGTGGACGTTATCTAATTGTTTTACGTTACTGGATATCCTTTCAGTTGTGGACTATTTTAAAAATTGAGGCATGTTGACATTAATGGATCCGGATGAATATCTCTGGCGCCCATTTTTCACATGCTTCATTTGGCCTGTACTATCAGTCATGGTAATTCATTGAGAACTACGAGCTGTCAGTCGCAATGGCTGATGGTAGTTCTTCCATTCACATAACTCTGTATGAATTGTGGGCGGAGCCCCGCATGGCCGATGCTTTTTAGAAGAAAAAAAAAAAAACTTTTTGACAGCGGATCCCTGTCCCACTACCAAATAGGGAGCTTTGGGTGGGGGTGCGGGGCGGCTGCATCAGTAACCTGTTACACCCTGAATACAGGTGTAACATGTTATAGGAGGTGAACTTATCCTTTTAAAAGAGTAAATGCAGCACCATTTTCATATCTTCTATTGTATATAGCCTTTTGTGGATTAACCACTAAAGCAGTGGTCAGCTTTCTGGATTATAGTGTGGCCCCTGATGTCTCTAAAGGGCCACATGTAATCTGTAATGCTGTAGAGAACTGTCAGACTGCAGACAATGCAGCAGGAGATGGTCAGTGACCAACATGCTGTAGGACTTTAAGGCTCTGATCATTCTGTAATTGTAGGGAACTGGGAAAATGCTTCCGAAGATTGTCATGGACTGGAGACACATTACATTAGACTGCTAGAGATCACTCCAATGTATGCAGGGTCCCTCAGGGTTGCACAAAAAGTATCAGAGGGCCGCAGGTTGGGCACTAGATTGTTGGTCGGGTACACTCTCCACACTGGTAGGATATCCACTACGTAGAATGTCTGTGCTTAAAACATCAACTTGCATCAAGAGAGGACAATAAAGCACAAACCTTTTGAAGTAAAGCACTGCCAAGTAGGTAATAGAGGTGGAATATGAAACGAGTGATGGTGGTTTCTCCTGCCTGCATATGTAATTATATATGGGACCTACGTTTTTCACTCATAATTTACATCAAACTAATCATTTACATGTAAAACAATACAAAGGGTGTGCATAAAAAGTTGTTCTTGGATACTTTGAGGCCATGTTAACTGGCCCATTGTGTACAGCTGCTAAAGTCTGTTTCTGGCACACATTGGTAATGACCCTCCATGCTGCTTTTCATACAGGTTAAATTGCAGTTGATTTTCCCAGTATACATTCACTCGGGCATACCGATCCGTACACTTGAGTCAATGGGCTTGCAGGCTGCCTGTTGAAACCAATGACAGGCCGCTGGCTACACAGACCTCCACATGCATCCCAGAGCGGACCCGCACAGATGTGCACTCCAGGATGCATCTGAAGGTCACTGCAGCCGGCTCCCATTTGGGAGAAACAGGAGGTAGTGAAAGATGCTGCAAGTATGTGCAGGCACTGCAGGGTATCTGTACTTTGTACATGTTGGTAGATTATTTTTTTGTTAAAATCCGGAAAACCCGCTTTCCGTGTGTTTCCCACTCCATGTCCAAAACACACTGCAGTTGCGATCTGCAGCAGGTGTCACTTCACTCAATGACACCCCAAATGCAGGTCGCAGGCGCAATGTGTTCACCTGTACTGTATTGCATGGTACAGCAGTACCATGTGATCTGGTTCCTGTGCATTTTATAAAGTAGTACATGCACTACTTTTGGATCAACAGTGCAACTTCAGCCCATTGAAATGAATGGCCTGAAATCACACTGCATACAGACCGTATGTGAATTGCACAGGAACGCAATGTGCAATTCATGGTGTGAACTGGCCCTAAATCAATAGGCATGTGTATTCTTATATCTTGGGAGAGCTTTAGATCTGCGCAATAATTCAAAGTAAACTTTTGCCTCTGTGTAGGAGCTTCTTGTAATAAAGACCAGTCACTGCTGATCTCTCTCCTTGTGCAGGGTGACTGGTCTTGTATCCGCCCATTCCTGTAGTTTTCTACAGACAACCTGTAGTGGATGGAAATTGCTGTGGCCTTCCAATAGCTCTGCTCCCTACAGAGGCTATGTACAGCACAGTGATGTCACAGCCATATTTACAAGGTAATAGTTGGGTTTGCAAAGACATTTTGGTGCAGAAAAGTGGATTTACAGGGGTGTGGAAAAAAAAAAAAAAAAAAACCTAATTGTGCAAGGGACAAAATCCGGATCCCAATCTACTTTTAACTCATGGCAATCTACTTGACCTGGTGATGATGATAAAAAAAAAAAAAAATTAACCAAAACGCCCAGAGACCAGCAGGGAGGGGAGAGTCCTTGCAGTGTGAAGGGCACCGATTGGGTGTTCATCAGAAAAGGGGAGTGTCATGCTCTTTAATGCTCAGCAGAAGCGCATCTGCTGAGTGGGTAAACGAGGTGCCAGCCGCAAGGAGTGAAAAAAATAATCTTAATTCCTTCAGGTTACCCTCATGCAGAGAAGCACTTGGGTACTCAGTACAAGCGCATAGGTAGGCTGTTTGTCTATACTTCATGGGGTGGACACAAAATGCTCAGGGTAGATAGGCACTGTCTGATCCCGCTTGCGCTGTGTCTGATCCCGCTTGCGCTGCACAGCAGGAGCTCAGGGTGGTTAGGCTATGTAGTCATTCTGCCTGACACAGAAAGGCCTGGCTCAGGAAGCAGGATGGTGGTCCTCCCACGCTCTGGAGGACAGGCATTGATTAGCAGACACTTCCAGGCCTGAGCATGCAGGCTGGATTAGCATTATTCAGCAGCGGTTGGTGTAATGGACAGAACAGATGTGAGTGTACTACCTGTCATCCAGCCAGTGGGAATGGCAAGAAAAAAGCAAACCTTGCCACTTGCCTGCAGCATGGCTAAATGTAAAAAAAAAAAAACTACCTGTCTGCCACCCAAAACTACATATCCCAGGCGTTGGGAGATAGGCATTGCATATCCCTGATTTATATCCTTTGTGGCTCTTGAAAAATCTATTTAAATGCAAGGTTTTTCTGCTTGGAACTGAGCTTTAAAATGATAAAGTAAATTGGATGAGTTGTCTTCTGTGGGGCTGCATATTTGTGCTCCTGTGTTTGTACCAAGTGTGCTGCACAGTGTCTCCCAGCACAGAGATCAAGCTCTCAGCAAGAGCTCAGGTCTTGTACTAAGGATCGGGAACCGGGCCTCCCAGTACCTGGATGCTGTGGTAGCCTCTGATTGGCTATCAGTGGTAAGTCGTGTGTGTGTGTTTTTTTTGTTTGCAACTTTATCTGTTTCAGTGTATTTTTAGGTAGTATAAAAAAAGCAAAATGTACACTATAGTTTCTGGACCTTACTAGGGGTACATGCAACAAATACACTTGTGGTATATCTGTGATCTTCAGGAGCAGGGGAATTGTTTGGTTGCTCTTTAGTGGGTATCTTCTACTAAGTTTATAGTGGCAATTCAAAAATGTTTGTTCCAGTTTTTTGCTTTAATAAAAAAAAAAAACAAAAGAAAAACTGGTTACCATTTACCACTAAACAAAATCCCAATTAGTTAAAAAAAAAAAAAAAAAAAAAAAAAAGGTAAAATTCAGCTGGATGTGTGAAGTAGTTACGATATGTACAGTTGTACGAACACATGTCACAGTTACAAAACGGTGTTCAAGCGTAAAGAATTTTTTTTTTTTTTTTTTTTTTTTTTTACCTTCCAACTCGAAGATGTTAACATTTACAAACCTTTTTGGATCTGAGCAGAAATACTCTTGTATGCCCTGGAGCCATGGTATGCTAGTATGTAAAACTTGCCTTTTTATCTCCTTGGTGTACTTTGGGATATCTGGAAGTGTCAGAAATGAGACAAACATTACATTGTGTGATGCTGTAACTGAAACTTGCATACTATGCACCCATGTTCAGGGGTCTTGAGGGGAGATGCTTTCTCCAGAACTAGAAGTGTTCAGGTACATTGTGGTACCTATTGGGGATTCTTGTAGTGACAGGTTCCATTTAGGATCCAGTAACATTGGGCACAATTCACTAAGCGATATTTTGCTGCAGCTGAGTATACCGTGAAATAATGCACTGGGTTTTTTTTTTTTTTTTTTTTTAACTAATTCACAAAGAAACTCTCCTTTTTAAAATCTCCCATGCGTTCTATTCTGAATTATGCGTTGTGCCCATTTTTGTTCTGAACAGCATCCTTTAATGTGCAGCAGAGTATTCCTAATCCTGCCCAGTAATTCCTTGGCTTTTATAGACTGCACATACACTAAGTTCGCTTTCACTGTTTACTTGACACACTATAGGGGATTAGTGTTGGCACCCTAGAAAAGGAAGGGTTTTAGGACTACAGAACACCCTCCCCTTTCCATAACATATGCGCCCCTTGTCTTCCCACAGTACACCTGTAGCTGCTTTTTTAATGGATCCAGAGATTAATGGTGGCCATACATGAGTTGATACACTTTTTTTTTTTTTTTTTTTTTTTTCCTCTGATCAGTGTCTTCTGATTGGAATAATCTATAGTCGACAACCCATTTGGTCGGTATACCGCAAGCGATAAAGTAGATTTTGATCAATTATTTAAGATGCGATTGTACTTTTCGTATTGAAATTATTGATCATATCGGTTTCCACTGTGATTTCATCATTTAATGAACCGAAATACAATTGTATTCATGAACATAGTATCAATGCTGTCAGTTGATGGAAAATGATATGTAATATACCTCCATGGCTGATTGATTTAGTTTGACTAAAATTTAGTCTTAATCGATTGGAAGGGAAGTTATGGCTATTCGATTGTTTGCAGATTGGTTCACACATTTAGAGAATTGGATTTTAAAAAAAAAAAAAAATCAAAGTTTGTGTTTTATAAACAAGGTGATTTAATTATCACAATTCTACAACCTTAGTTCCAAAGCTTATAGACTTGACAATTTTTGTTTTTTCTTTCCCTTACAGTGCAGTCATTTATTTGGGTTTTTTTTCCTCCAGGCTGTGATCAGAAATATTGAGCGAGAACTCGTATGTCCTTCCTGCAAGGAGCTGTACACCCATCCCTTGATTTTACCATGTCAGCACAGCATCTGTCACAAGTGTGTGAAGGAGCTTCTCTTCCTCACTATGGAAGATTCCACCGATGTCAGTTCAGAAGTGTCCTCACCAGGAAGTCCACGTATTCGGATACAATCCCCTAGTGTGGAAAGGCTTGACCGAATTCTCAGATCAGGTTAGTGTTATATCACAAGCTGAACGTTCTGCATGTCTCTGCAACCCTTGCTTACACTGCTCGTTCAAGCACGGGGTTATTGGTATATAATATACTGCCATTTTTCCTGGAGGTATAGTGTATTGTCCATAGCAAACCTCATCTGTTCCAGAACAGGATTGAAAATTCTTAACCCCTTCAGTAAATCAACCCTTTGTTCTTTATGGTTATAAGCAGCAACTAGTAACAATCTTACCACAGTTTTTCTGCTCACTTGGTATACTGTGGTTATTTTGGCTTATAATTATGTGTTAAAGTTATAGCCAAAGTTGTGTTTTTTTTGTTTTTTTTTTATGCCATACTTCTCCTCTGGGTTGCAGGAGTATACTTATGCTCTCTTGTGACCCAGGGTAAGTCGACAGCAGGCTAAAGCCCATTGTTGCAGACACCATAGAGCTGCTGCAAGCTATGGAAGGATCCCGACAATGTCAGGATCCACTCAGATGTCTGAGCTAGCTGCTCCCTCCTCCACAGCCCAGTGCTCCAGAGAGTGCTAGAGGGGCAGAGCAGACTGAGAACTGAGCAATCAGTGGTCCTGTGTTCAAGTCTTGGGCTTTAGAGCCAGAGAGGGGCAGCTTGCAGGATCAGACCGATGTTGCAGCAGAGAGGAGAGTATAGTTTTTTTTTTTTTTTTTTATTTTATTTTTTTTATTTGCAAATATTTATAAATCAAATTGTAGCAACCAACAGGCATGAAGACAGCTTCCTGATCTGGCTTTGTTTGTCCAGATTAGACAATGTTCATGCATTTGTGGGTTCTTGTTGCTGGGTGTCTTTCTCTGCTCCAGAAAAGATGACCTGACCTAGTCAGTGTTAATGACTGACAATGCCATAATTTATGCATATGAACGCATAATTGGGCACCTATGTACATAAGTCTATTCCACTGGCTAGATTAAAAGAATGTTCTGGAGAGTAGAATGAGTTTATATGTAAAACACATAAGACTGTTAGTATGCTTATAGTTCTTGGCCTTCACCTTGTAAATAAATGCTGTTTTACCTTTTTAAAATATAAATTTTTTTGCAGCCACACATCATCGGAGCACTTTTAGAATGAGAAGCAGAGGTGATTTATTCTCCATATCTAGATGTTCTAGGCTGTGTGCTTCAGTGTGTATTGGCTTTATTCCTTTTCTAAATTTCATTCTGTTGGACAGGTATAACTTGTAATGGCTTACGAATGATCTACCAGCATGACATTTGTTGGAGGTGTCTTTGGGGAGCTGGGTATACAGGGCCTAACTTTGCTAGGTTTTCTTTTAATAATGTTGACTTTACAATTTTGACACAGTCATATTTATAGCAATATTGCTCTTTCCAGTGTACTTCCATGCCTAGGAAAGTGTACAAATTACAGCGTGCATTTACGAAGTTAGGACAGTGTGTGTGCACCTATGGCCTGGGCTGTCTCCTGCAAGATGCACAGAAGACATGGCATTACATTTTGCAGAAAACTAGTGAAAGGCAACCAACAAGAATGTTGAAATGCACTGAAACCCCATTTACAGTTACTTTTAATCACCATTGCACTTGCTTAAATTGTCGTGTTAGAACCTTCAGAAGGGATATTTAACACAAAGTCCAGTCTGGGTATCTTGATTTACAATTTTATCCTTTGCGAGCCCTGGTGTAAACCTGTAAGGCTTCATTTCAGTAGTAAGAATCTACGGATTCCTGCTCCTGGGTTTGACAGCTGTGAGCAGATAGCTTCGTCCAGCCGTGTTCCATGCAGGTACTTGCTGCCTGTACAAACAGTCACAAATAGCTGAGGCCGCTTACAGCCTGCCATTACAGCTATGTGGCCGCAGCTATCTGCTCACAATAGGATTCAGTTGATTCATGCTGCTGGGATTTGCTCTGTGGCTAAGTGCCTGTGCAAATACAGCCTTAAAGTTTCTGGCTTTGTTCTCACCAGCCTTTGAGTGTGCCAAGGCCATCTGCTGTCTCCTCCTTCCTCAAAAAAATTGCAGCTCAAACAGGGATACCAAATCCTCCTTCTGAAAGTCATGGTAGATCTGCAAAGTTAAAAACTGAAGTACAGAGACATAAAGCAGGTACATGGATTGCCCTTCAGTATCCGCTTTGGGTGTCTATACTGTGAGTTATAAGACAGATCACACTATTTTATAATTAAGGTAACTCTAGACCACAGGTGTCAAGCTGGCGGCTCTCCAGCTGTTGCCAAACTTCAATTCCCATGAGGCATTGCAAGATTGACAGTTACAAGCATGACTCCCAAAGGCAGAGGCATGATGGGACTTGTAGTTTTGCAACAGCTGGAGGGCCACCAGTTTGACATCCCTGTTCTAGACAGGTTTGCGGTGTTTTTTTTTTATTTTTTTTTTTTTTAAGGAAAAAAAAAAAATCAGACAAGCTCTAACCCTTACCCATTCTCACCTCCCAGTAGGAGCCATTTTCCCCCTCCCAATTCTAATGGCATGTGGTCACACAGATTGGCTTTAGCACAAATTTTCTTTTAACCTACTGGTAATGAATATGATGGTGAAAGCAGCCAGCCAGGAAAGACCATTCACTTGCACATTAACCATTGTTCAATATACGATAGAAAACAAGAAAGTACTGCACTTATAGAAGGTCTAGACAGACTGATCTTTGATTTAGCCGATCTTCCCAAAAACTGACCTCCCCGATAGACAAGTCAGATCTGCTGGTGTATAGATGGCAATAGGCAAAGCTAAACAGATGGCATTGAAAGCCCTGTGTGTAGCCTTTTACTGGTCACAGGTAAATGTCTGATATATAAAATGTTCGAATGTAAGGCTTATGTTTGAGGGATGTTGGCAATGAATGGTTGTCATTCCATTGACAATCATCATCTGCCCATGTGCTTGAATATTTTAATTGTTCCTGTTCTGAAATGCAATAATTTTTTTCCTCTGTTTACAACATATTGCCATACATAATGGCTGTTAAGCTCTGCATGTTTGTCAAGCTTAATTTTAAGTGCATGCTGCTTTTCTACTAATTTTGTTACTAACTTATCAAATTTTAGGTTTAAATGTTCCATCAGCAAATTTTATGTAACGCTGCCCCGGGCCTGCCAATGTAGACAGCATATTCTCTGCTAGAATGCCCTAATCTGATAAAGGATTTCACTCTAAATGGTTTTTTGTATAATCAATTTACTCTGCTAGTGATGGTTTTGATGTGTATCGTGGGATTGCGCACTACTTATCTTCGCTTTAAAAAAGTTATTTAATGGATTAGTATAAATTGTGGCAGCATTTGCCTCTTTTTATTGGAATTGTGGAAGTGTGGTCCCAGGCCTTAGGGCGGTAACAACTGTATTATTCTAGCCCAACTATCCCAAGATTTTTCCTTCTTGATACTTTAATAGAAGTATGCACACTTGCATTATTGGACCAAAGCGTGCATCTTTATGTAAATGGAGTAGGGAGCACTTCAGAGATTAAACACCGCTTATCTGTGGAAAGTCAGATGAGGACTTCATTAAAAATCCATTCATTTATCTCCACTAGGTTAAAGGCTAAGATCACTTTTGTAACATGTTACACCTGCATTTAGGGTGTAATGTTACAGTACAGCACCTGCCTGTACTCTCCCTTCTGTATAAGCTGTCAGTTTATAAACAGCGTGGCCATGTGATGCTCCGCCCACATGGCCATGTCATTCATTCAGAGTTCAGTGAATAAATGAATGACAAGTACCACCCTCCACTATGGCAGACAGCTTGTAGTTTTCAATAAACTACGAAGGCGTTGGTGAGCGTTCTCATAATTAATTTATTCTTCCTGCAGCTCCATAACTGTCTGCCCATACAGGAGGCATGGACAGACAACTGACGGAGTCTGCAGGAGCCTGGCATTGCATCTGCAGTGCATTACAGGCTGCAGTGTAAAAATATATAAATAAATGCAGTTTTTTTTTTTTTTTAAACTGCGAAAAGGTGTAGTGTATAGTAATAGTATAGTTCTAGTAATAGTGTAGTAATAGTATAGTCGTATAAAAGGTGCATTTACTGCTTGTGTCCATTGACATGAGGTTGCAGAAATAACAAGTTTATAGCTGGTCATTCACCTTGCAGTTTGGACAGTCTTCTGTAGTTCTACCAACAGTCATATAGAAAAAGAGCATATCTGATTAGATACAAATTTAGTGGGTTGTTCAGATGGACATCTGCTGCATACTGTAGGCCGAAAGAAGACTGAAGAGTAAGGCCTCTTGCACACGGGCGGTTAGATTTCAGCTTTTAGCTGCTGTTAGAGGAACTTACAGCAGCTAAATAAGATAGATAATGCATCCCTATGGCTCCATTCACACACTGCGTTTAGCATCGTTTTCATAACATACGGTTTTATGCGTTTAGGAAAAGTTGACTGCGTCCAGGAGGAATGTACTGCAGCTATCTGTACATAAATGCGGTTAATCACAGTACAAAGAGAAAATAAGTAAACAGTTGCATTAGAAAAGGCAAGAATTGACTACTGCAGCTAAACGCAGCCACATGTAAACACACGTAAATGCAATGTACAAATGCAAGTGATCTCTGTTCCAGCAGTGTTGGCATTTCAAAATACAAAAACCTCGATTTACAAGTGGCAGAACAACCGCCCGTTTGAAAGAGGCCTTGGTGCACATTCAGATTGCAAGGTGCCTCTATTGCAGCACTTCAAAAGGTGACCGATGGCTGGTGAGAGGATGTAGGGAACTACTAGAAGTGGAGCAGAGAGCCACATGCACCCTAGTTGAGAACTGTGTGGGGGTTTTCTAGTAATTGGCAGGATACTTGGATGACCAAGACAGCATTTGAAAAGGGACCTGGACAGGTGGGTTATTTCGGCTTTTTTCTGAGCAAACTTTTTTTTTTTTTTTTTTCTCCATACTGTGTCAAGAATTTCTGCCATACACAAAACCACACATGTGCAGTCCATTAGATATTCCTTGAGGATCTTCTTTGTCAAAACATTTTGTCTAAAA